TCTTACACTTTCTGTTATCTTCTGCTATATCTAAACTTTTCTTGTTACTTTTTATTACCCCTGGTATGAGTAATTTTGCACCTCAGCCTCATTTTATAATAATTTACTTCATTGCACTTTTGGACTTCTCCTTAGCCTTTTTTTTTAACACCACTTTTTCTTTAGAATTCCTCTCTGATTTCAAGATCTGAAAAGATAACCAATTGGAACCTTAATGATACCTTATTATGCCTTCATCTTCACAGAACTTCACAAGATTTTTCTTTGCGATCCTTTACTCATCTTATTACCTTTCCAAAAGCACTACTAGTTCTCTAAACTTGTGAAGTTGGACAATCTTTTTATTGATGCCCATTATCCCTATTTTCCTTTTCTCACTCCTTCCTCTTCTTCAAACAGTGCATGCTACCATCTCTCAACCACTTTCACACCAATTATTTCCTGACTTCCTCAGCCCCGTTCTTCCTTACACATAATGAAATCTGAACTGCCTTAACTTTTTAAGCATGTAGGAATAACACTGTCAATCACAGGAAATTTTGAAGCCTTGTCTGTGTCCTAACATTACTTTTTCAACTGCCAGGGAAATGAAAATCCTCCGTTACTCCATCTTCTTGTCTTTAAGCGCACTTTAAGCTTTTTAAAAAGCGCACTTTTTAAAAAAGTCTTCCTCAGAGCATGTCTTTTTTTGTATTTCCACATTGGCTATTCAATAAATTTGACCCTCACCTCTCCTTAGCTTCAGAGCAAGTATGTACAGGTTGGATGTGCAATGCTACATTGTACTCTCTTCATCCCTACCTGTTCTTCATGAAAAATTATCTCCTACCTCAACCAGTAGCCTCATGCTTTATCTTGCCATGTCTTACAACTTTCAGTTAAACTTCTGAATAGCAATGAAGGTTTTTTTGAAAAACAAATTAAAGGATGCATGCAATAATGGTGAAATAACTCATTTGAGTTATCAGTCAAATTCAGTACCCATTCCACTTCCATGAAGAGTAGTTGATTGTTTTTGTGTACTTTACTGATTTACATGTAAAAATAATGAATGTTTAGAAACTCAGAATCATAATTAAATATCTTGATATGAGGGAATAAAATACTACTTTGAATATTTCTTTCTGGTCTGAATTCTGGTTTTATAGAACAATTAATTTCTTTTATATTTTGCCTCCCTTTGCAATGGATGCAATTTTAAACCCCTGAAGTGTCCAATAAAAAAGGAAACATGGTTTATAGTACTATTTATACCCTCAGTCTTACTGCTGCTGCTAATAAAAAAAGCAGACATGCAAAGCAGAAAAGCAATGCTCCTAGTACAATCGCATACAAATTCAGTTTCAAGTATTGCTCTTGTGCCTCTCCCATAGACATATGCCATGGGCAATGCACAGCATTTTGTCTGAACAGGAAGAAAAAGAGAAAGGGAGAATGAAAACTGTCAGGAAGAACAGGCAGAGATGTTTGATGTCAGTTACCAAAACCAAAGAAATGTAAGAGAAGAACAAAAGTCACAGAATCAGGTAGGTTGGAAAAGAACTTTAAGATCATCAAGTAGAGCTATTACCCTAAGACTGCCAAAATCACCACTAAACCATATCACTGAGGGCCTCATCTACACAGTTTTGAACACTTCAGGGATGGTGATTCCACCACTTCCCTGGGCAGCCTGTTCCAATACCTGATCACCCTCTCTGCAAAGATTTTCCTAATATCCAGACTAAGCCTCACATGGTGCAGCTTGAGGCCATTTCCTCTTGTCCTATCACTGGTTACTTGTGAGATGAGACCAACCCCCACCTCAGTACAACCTCCTTTCAGGTAGTTGTGGAGAGCAATAAGGTCTCCCTGAGCCTTCTCTTCTCCAGAATAAACAACCCCAGCTCCCTCAGCTGCATATCATAAGACTTACTCTCCAGATCCATCACAAGCTTTTTTGCCCTTTTTCTGGACCTGCTTTAGCACCTGAATTCAGAAATAAGCCAGAATTCAGGTAGAATTACTACCTAAAACAAATGCTAGGAATGTTTCAGTATTTCTAGATGAATAAAAATGAAGATGATAAATATAAATCTAAACGGGGGAGGGTGATTAGAAATACATCCCTTTTTTCTTCCCCCTCAAATCTCCACTACTTTTGACAGCTCTGCAAGTTTAAAACATAAAATGTCTGAAATAAGAAAAGTAGGTACTTATAAATCCATACTTTTAAAACAGTAAGGTTTTTATGAATTTGGCTTCAAAGAGGACATATAAGGGCATAATACTGCCTGCAAAGACCCATGTTATCCTAAAAGACTTGCCATGTAATGCCATGTAATATTTCAACCTTCCAGTGCCATACAATGAATCCAACTCCCAAGTCACTACTTTTTTTTCTAAAGATGACTCAGTCTTTTTGTACCCCTAATGGTACCCAAACTGAATAGATAGCACAGAGACTTGGTTTACTGGAGACTAGCAAATACAGAATCTTGAGAGTACAGCTGTAGTAAGCTCATTTGCTGTAATAAGCTTACCAGCCATACAGTTTTAAGTTTGCTCATCACAAGCTTGGTGGTGTTGCTTACCTAATAACATTAAAATGATAAAATATTTTTGAACTCTAAAACTTAACTCCTATCCTGCCCTATGGGAAAGGAACATAAAGGGAAAAAAAAAAGAAAACAACAAAAACCTAACCCAAATATTTATTGGATTGTCAACACAGAGACAGTAAAGGAGAGTAAAGTGGATTTAATTCAAGTAAGACAATAATATAATCTCCTATTGAAATAATACCATGCTATATAGTCATTCTTATTGTAGCATGGTAGGTCCAAGGCTCAAATTCCCATTCGTTTGACAAGAGGTGGGAGACAGAACAGACTGAGAGAAGGTGTTCAAGATCAACAGACCTCAGCAGTCAAACCTGTACCAGGCCCTTAAATGGTTCCCTGAAGTAAGAAAGGCCTAAAGAACCTGCTTACAACCCAATGTTCTTCATACAAGGCATGTCAATGGAAATAATTGTCACTGTGTTGTGTTCTTGCTACTGCCCCTTCAAGGTCAGTTAGCCCTGTACCTCTCTTTCCTTTCAATGGGATCACTAGGTCACACAGACCACAGGGTGAAAAGTATAAGATCCTCAATCTGCCCTGGAGAAAAAAAAAAAGAACTAGCTAAGTATTTGGTCCGTTTACAGAATGGACTACATCTGGCTTTCTCTTCATGTGGAATTACATTAAAAAGCTGATTTGACTGTTGGAATAAAAAGTTAATTCCATTCTTCAAACTACAGCTCCACTCAACATCCAGTTAAGGTATAACATATTTTCCATCAAGTACGCATGTAGTTCTCACTGATACAAACTGGAAATATGTACATAGAAAGCACAATCAGTCTGTCCTCTTGCTAGCATGGGGATAGCACACTATTAAGACGCAAACCTAAGGAACCTCCATCTTTCTACATATACATCCATGTAGATGCCTAACACAGTAGCTTTAAGCACACAAAGACCAACACTTTTCTGTTAAAAAAAAAGGATAATCAAAATATTTCCTCCTCTTTTTGCCTGAAAAGAGTTCTCTAAAGTTTCATGAATTTGAAAAATTTCTGTATTTGCCTGTTTGAATTTAAGTATGGCATTAATATTTTTTGCTCAAAAGTTATATTTTAGATTTACATTTTGCTACCATAGCTTCTCTACCCAGTCTCTAGGCAGAAAAGAAAAAAATAAAAGTTCCCCAAATAAAAGCAGACTTGACACCCTGTATGATGTGTTTGTGTAAGCATGCACATTTGTGCATGACTGCTGAAGGTTTTTATTTGTGATGTTACATATTCAGGCTTCAGGAAGTAAGTTTTAATATTTGAACAACAACAGCATTAATAAATTCACAAACATTCCCCCTCTGTAAGTGGTTAGGGAACTATGAACTGTATTATCTTTATGTGAATATAAACACTGAGTCTCTGGGCATCTCGCTAATATTACTACAGTTGACAAATCAGGAGTTACTTGAATGTAACAAGGACTAGAAAGAATTTACAAAGCCTTTATAAGCAGAGATTTCACTTGCTTTCCCCAACCCCTATTTAATTACAGAGCCTTTCTAATGCCACACAATACAATTTATAGTTACTAGTAAAAGTAGCCTATCCAAAATTACTAGCTAGGTGAAAATAAAGGAATGAGAAATTAAAAAACGAATTGGTTATTAAATTAGAGTTTATGCATTCATAATATGAAAATAAAACAGTGATCAGTTTTTAACTTAGATATTTTACTCTTTTAACAAATCATTATTAAAACCAGAAATATATAAAATAGTGCCAATTATCCTGAACAATCAGTGATTTATCAATTATTATACATGCTAAAACATTCCAAGGTTTCCATTGCTTTTTTAAATATGAGTCTGCACTGATGCCCATTAGGGCATCATGGGACTAAGGTAAAATAAATAATCATAGTAGTGGGGCAGAACACCATTTGCTGCAGAGAGGAAATACTACAGATCTATGCAATCCTGGATCCTGGCCAAACACCAACACAATTCTGCACTAAGAAAACCTCTGTATCATGTAAATGCATATTCAAACAAGCTAAGCTTGCAACTAGCTTGAGTGCTCTTTCCTCTCCTCGTATCTGAGTGCAGGCTTTTATAGCAGTGAAGGGTGAGATTCTGCCAGATATGGATGCATGTATTTGAGGTTTCTTTTGAGATATTCTCTGCTTAAATAGGAAGTGATATAGTAGGGTCAGCATGAAGTTAAAAATATCCTCCCAGCTGCTGTGAGGTATTCTGGAAGCTTTATTTTGACCTTTGGTATTCAACATATGCCAATTCAACTGAGACAGGCAAGCAATGACACCACAGAGTTTGCATGTTGTACCATTCAAAAAGCAAATATGCTAAGTATATGTTCAGTTTGGTGTGTCAAGCATGTGAAACAAAAGATGGTGATGAGTGAACATACCAAGCTACGTTATCTCTTTTGACATTCTTACCTCATTTACATAGACCCAGTGACTATCCTTTGATGCAAGGTTGGTTTCCACAGCCTACAAAAATAAAAAGAAATATAATAATAAAAATTAAACGTGCGAAACATATTCCAGAAAGAACTTATATTAAAAATTACTATAAAGCTAATTTTGCTTGCTTTCGTTGCTATTGGCATTGCTTCAATGTAGCTCTTTTCATCTCTTCCACTGCTTCTTCATGGAAGTATCCTATTGGTGCTAGTCACATTTCTCTGACTTTAGTACATAAACCAAACTACCTTGACCATGAAGATATTCCCTAGATGTACCACAAAAGCATACTGGAGTGGGGTGGTACATCAACATGACAAGGAATCCTATGATGAACAACTGCACACAGAACATGAGATTTAACTTCCACATGATATATGTAATGCATCCAAATAGGCTGGGTTGCTTTTCAATATGCCTCCCAAAATATACTGCCTCAGCCTCATTACAACTCCTATAGGTTAACTGTTAGATAACCTATCTCATGCAAAACACTACTCTGAGACACTCAAGTGAAGTTCATGAGTCATCCTCTCTTCACGTTTATATAAGACCCAAGACAAAGTTATGATTTGCATGGACATTTTTTTCTGGCTTCCTGGTGTGGACACAGATAATCACTATTATAAAGAAACAGCCCATCTCATCGAGAAGTATATTTATCCGTACATATATAACTCTTATGGTTCATAAGATGCTAAAATTGGGAAAGACTGCTAGTATAGATAGCACTACTAGTACTGAGGACCTCAGTGGAAAGATTTGGCAATATACATAGAAGATTATAACCCCTTTGACATAGATAAGCTCACTGCAAGATGCTTTATAGTATAACAAAGCAATATCAAGCATCAAGAGGTGTATGCTACAGTGATAAAGATATTGCTAATGTCCTGCTTAATGCACAGTTAAACAACTACTGTGGATTCATCTCACATAATAAAACAGGACAATCCCAGTGCACATGTATTTCAGGAGGCAGTTCACTACACAAAGTTCTGAAGGCCTCTGCCTTCAACCACTTCTTTCTTCTGTGACAATATGCCCTTATATATTGAAAAGGTATTCTTATCCCTGTGTTATAAATGAATCACTGAAATTAACCCAGTTAAAACAAACAAACAAACAAACAGATTAACAAAATACTTCCAGTCACTGTTTTTTAATCAAGGTAATTTTCACACCCTGCTCATTGTGCCTGGCCTCAAAACAATTACAAAGGTACAGAGGGTCTCTGTAGACTGTGGTACTGGATTGGGCAGGAACATCATCAATCACCTTCTTCTCCAGAACGCAGTTTCATAATAAGCCTCTCAGATATTTAGCATCAGGTGGGATGAATCACCTTCTCTCATCACACTGACTACAGGTGACTGGTTTAGAATAAACACCCACGACTTACAAAGCTGCAGTGAAAAAGGTTATCCACCCTTAACATAGGCAAAGGGAATACTGTTACCTGATTCTAGAAAAAAAAACAACAAAACAACAACAACAAAAGACAACCAAACCAAACCAAAACCTGGCTCAATAGCCAACACCAACATTTAAAAAAATTGCTCTTAATTTATACTGTGTTAAAAAACTGACTATAAATTACTTGTCTAAGCAATTGTATTTTAAAACTCTAAGCAGTTGTGTGGCCTATGAAAACCTAAGAGAAAATTGTGGGCAACACACACATCTCTATCTACTTGTCACATCCACAAGGTGTACTCCTTTAAAGAGACAAAAATCCCTAAAGAGAAACCACAAAGAAGTCAAAAGAGAAAAATCAACACAGGGTACAGGATTTATCCTCATCTTCCTGAACAGCATTATGGGAAATTTACTACTGCTGGTGTCAACAGAGATGAACAACACATCTGACAAGATAATCCTCTCTTAAGCATGACATGAAAAATTTTCTCCCTTGGTAATTGTCTCCCTTGTACTTCTTTTAAGCTGGCAGAAGAATTGTGACTATTAGGAAGGCTAGCAGTAATGAAAATGAGGGCAAAAACTTGTAAACTTTCTCCCTATTTATCCCTCTATCATATTCAGACAAAGCCAAAATAGCCAGGATCTGTAACATACAGAGGAAAAGCAAAGTGCTGCCAACATTAACAACGCAGAACTAAATAATGCTCAGGTGCAGAGTTATTGCACTGGCCATCTTTCATGACTTATCTGCAACAGTGAGCAATTTGTATGAATATATGCTAAGACTGGGGAGCCAAAAGAGCCAGGGAATTTGAAATGAATTATTGTGACTCATTCTTCTGGGTTCACATATCTGGGCCAAAGTTTTTAAAATGAGGTGCCTAAATTTAGGTTGCTAAGAGTTTATCTTTAGTCATCAGAGTGCTAGACTATTCAGCACCTCCTACAGAAGTCAATGGCTCTACATTGTAAAAGCCTGAAATGTATTTAGAAACATAACTATAGATAGGCAAATTTTGGTGTCCATAAATATCTTCTGTTTAGAACTGCAACACGTAGCATGAAGCATTATTATACACCAAGACATGCTGAGAGAAAGCAAACACTTCTTGTATTTTGTGGTTCAGGCTTTGTACCATATTTACAGACTGCTGTCCTAAAGAATCCTAAAATGAAATATTGAAAGATGCATCCCAGAGTTTTCAACCTTCTTACAGCACTGGTGTATTGCAGGTGTATTTCCAGAGGCTTGTTGAAGTTAAGCAGTGTGAAAAGCAAGAAAATTTATTCAGAATTCTCAGAATAAGAAAGAAACAACGTGTTTGTAACTTACTGGGTTTCTTTTTCTTTGAAAAGGGAGATTATGGTCACCCATTTTTAATTATTCAAACTGTTCAAGATCTTACTAGTTCTTTAAGCTTGTGTCTCCATCCATTCAAAAAGAAGAAAAATGTCAATGAAAAATCCTAAAGGATCAATTACAGTTTATTTCATAAATATACCCTATATTAAAGAAAGCAGGCTAGGAATTTGTGTGATCACTTTGGCTGAGAGAAAGCTCTGCCATCTATTGGAGCAGGATTTAGGTGCTAAAATATGTTATTGCAGGGGTTTGTGGAAAAATTATTAATACAGCTGCAAAATATCCTAGTTCTTTTTATACTCTGTATGTACATGCCAGATAGGTGATACTTGGGACTAATGCCTCAACATTTCTACCAAATAGAAAATCTGCTTTTGAGATAAACAGCACACTGGAAATTAAAGACCATCTCTGTTTTCTTTTAGACTAGCAAGTATCTTCTATAGATTTGTAAAAGAAAGGAGGGTTTTTTTGAGACTGCTTGCCCTTCTTCTTCCCCAATTAGATTTCAACAGCCAAATGTTAAAATGCAGAAGCAAACAAAAGAATTATCATTCAGTCAGTGGACCACCATCAATGACAACATATACATAATATTTTCAGAATTGGGCCAGTCTGAAAAGATGGAAAGGGGGGCAGTGAATGTAGAAAATTTTATAATTTCTCAGTAGAAAACACCTGCAACAGAAATGACACTGAAAATCAAAATACGAGCATTAAGATTTCAGATCTCATACCAACAATAATAAAAGAAAATAATAAGGTGCTTCATAAAAAGTGATCAAAGATATGTTTATGTATGTGTCTTTGTTTACTTTTAAATATATAACTTAAAATAATTTACCGCCAATAATCCATGAAAACCTTATTTTATTGGAATACAGTGGAGAACAAGTATTTACATTGCCTTTATGAATAAGTAACTTGGTTCATTATTTCATTTAATGTCACTTGCATGTTTAAAAGAAGTTAGGAAAGTAAGCAATAAATATTGTTGCATACAGAAATGAAGCAATTCTGCAGGGGAAAAAAAAAACAACCCACACAATCCTTTCCTGACCTTCTCAAAACATCTGAAACTGAAAACATTTCCAGTGTGTAATGGCTGGCTAGCTACAGGGAAGGCTCTTTTCCTCAATACCTGGCTGCTTTGCAAGGGTCAACACCTCAGTATAAACAGCAAAAAAGCAGGCTGTGTAGAAAGGAATGTAAGGCCCAGTGGCTGGACACAACTTAGGGAGAACCTGGTGTGTGTTCAGACACAGGCAGACTGTGTTCAGTGACAGCAGAATGTGCTGAAGAGTTTAGGCTTACACACATCTGTGTTATAGTTACAAACCTGTTGTCTCCTTTGTACTCAGGGGAGAGGCAGTAGGAATGTCTGGAAGCCCCATAACTAACCCTGGGATCCTAGAAAGAAATGTATTGCAGATGGCAAACACAGATGGTCCTGTTGTATCTACATTTTTGGAAACAAGTGCTGCCACCCTGAAATCATAAAAGAACCACCAGAGTGTTTTGCTAGGAGGGATATCAAACTAGTAAAGGGTATTACTTGTACATCCCCTGCTTTAATGTTGAGGATGAAGAGCACCATAGCTTTTCAGAAGGAAAAAAAAAAGCCAACAGTAAAGGCAGAGAGCATAGACTGGGAAGTTCACAGTTAGAAAATAACTTGGGAAGAGCATCCTAAGAGATACTGAAAGAACACAAAAGCAAAGCTGCTGCAAACCAATGACCAAGTACAGATGGCAGCAGAGAACAGATACACCTGCAGCATGGAATGCTCTGTGGAGGCACTGGCAGATACACCCAATCATCTCAAGACCACAGCTCCAGAAACCAGGCTCCATTTACAGAGCTCCTCCTATGCAGCTCTATTCCAGCTTGCAACCCTACTGAAGACCCCTATAACCAGACAGACTGCCAACAGTCAGCCCATAGGATGCTTATAACAGAAAACCAGCCACAGAGCAAGCTGAGCAGTGAGCAAGCCTTCAGGAGACCCAAGTTCTTTTTAAAGACCCCAGTGGTGCAGGATGAGGATGGAAATACTCAAGGGTCAGCTTTACTGCTACAAAATACTTTTTTTTTTTTTCCTGTGGGTTTGCTTGTTTTTAAATTATTAATATTGAAGGTGTAAGTAAAGGACTTGGGGAAGTAAATCTCATCTCTGCAAATCTTTCATAAAGGATCAGCCTCAATCCTTACAATTAATTACCTGCTCACTTTACTTTGCCAGTGGACAGGTTTCAAAAGAACTGTCTCCAGCTCTTACTGTCCCAAGCAAGGTTATAGCCAGTGACCTTCTTCCAAAAGTAGCTTCTTTCCCACTTAACATCATTGCAGAAATTATTTACCTACTGTTGTCACTCCACAAAAATTCTTTAGAACCAATTTGAAATCCATCACAGTAAACCAGCAACAGGAAAAAAGTCACTGCCTTCGTCATACCCTTTTGGAAGCCTGAGCCAAACCTAGCTCCAGCTGCTGGGTTTCACTGCAGGAGTTGGACCTGTATTTTTTAAAAATGGCTTTTTTCTTGACTTAAATGTCCAGGAAAACACCCTAGGAATCAGGAACCTGGTTTACATCCCAAAGAAGAGATCTAGACCAAGTTTTCAATGCAATATATCTGAAAGTAATTAATTATACACTATCAAAGTGCACCTGTTTATCTTAGAAGCTTTGTGTATGTTACAGACAAAAATAAGATAGGAGATATGAAAAAGTCAATTCTGGTAGAGTAGATGGGTTCAGTCTATATCCTAAAGATACCTAATTTATATTTAGAAACTTCTTCAATTAAAATAGTGCAGTTCTTGTCCGGGAGTGACTTGCATAGATAACAATTTCACAGAAAAATGATTTCTCCAGAGCAGTTACTGAGATTCTTGCACTTCATTAGAAACTTTCTTTTCTCTGCATTTTAAATACCTCTCGGTATCTCCAGAGAAGCATAAACCCCATAATATTTAATAGATTAAAAATAAGTAAATAAGCATTACTAGCCACAATAAAGTATTTATAAAAATAATTTCAATCTTCTTATAATACTTATGGTTTATTAAAAAATACACGTTATTGTTTCTAAAGCTTAATTGGTAATGGTACCATTGGTACAGGGATCAAAATTAAATTTTCCAGGTGACAGTACAACATCCCAACTCTAGATGAAGTTTATAAAACTAAGACATTTTGGACTAAGAATCCTGAAGAAAAAAACTCAGTTGCAGTAAACTGAATTAGGACTGGAAGTTTTCTTATTTAATACAAGTTAATTAAAATACCTAAATGTCATTTCAAAGTGAAATATGAAATTCTTCCTTCTTTAAATAGTAAAATGGGAATTTAAAGAGGTTACATGACATACTTTATCAGAACAGGAAATCAACTGAAACTGACCCTTTCTTACTGAACATCATTCTCCATGAAAAATTTGTACTTCTAACAAAAAAGTTTTGCCATAAATTCTATGTTTTTCCTTTTTTCAGAACATATTCCTAGAAATGTGCACACACACATATTAAAAAAAAAAGAACACTTAACAGGGTCACTGATTCCCTGTCTTTCAGTGATCACTACCTTATGTCATTCATACAGTTAACTTCCCTATCTTACAACATAAGATGTCAATTCCAAATCTCGGTACATATTGGCTTCATTAAAATCGTTCATGAGCCACAAGCATAACATGCTTTGGAAATCCACATTTCTTGATAATTCATTGTATTACTTCATTTTTCATCTACACTCTATAAACATATTACTAAAGAACATCACTCAGTTGGGACAGTTTTCATGTTATCATGCACTGTTACATCAAAACGTGAGGCCCGATATTTCCTTGCTACTCTGCTGCAGAACTACATTGCTAAGAAAAGCTATTCTTCCCTCGATGCTACTGATAAAGCACAAGTAATTACTGAAGGGCTATCATGAGATTAGATGGTATTTTAATTATTCTGGGCTCCTTCAGTAGTATAAACCTGTAAACTTGGCATATTCAGCTTGAAGTTCCCACAAAAGCTAGGGCAAATCAGTCATACAGATATCTGTGTTCTCCTGCTCAGAAGTCTAGCCATTAGCCTGGGCTATCTCCCCCAAAATGGTAACATTTCCTTTATGGTTTCTGTCCAAATGATATGAGAGGGTCTTTTCTTGACCTCTTAGTTCCTCCACAAGCTAAATAACCTAATTAAAGAAAAAAGATTAAGGGTGAGGATAAAAAGGGGGGGAGGGGGAGAGGGAAAAAAAGGGGAAGGGGAGAGAAAAAAACCAACATCCTAGAGCAAATTCCCACATACCATCCACAGCTGAATTCTGTTTTCAGTTGCTAATAAGACATTTCATGCAAACAGGAGTAAATATGACCCAAACCCACCAGATTTTAGCACACACCCCTCCAGTTGATGAATGATAATTAGAAGATGTATCTAACATTTTGCACAATATGACTTGATAATAACCCAAACTGATATATACTAATCATATGTTTTAAAGTTTGCACTGCACTAGTTGCAACATACTAGTTGCTAGTATGCCTAGGGCATAGGTGATCAGGCAAAAACTACACTGAAGAAAACATATGTATAAGTTTAATGTTAATAAAGAGGCATTTGAAATGAAGAAAATCATAAAGAAGAGTAGAAAAAGAGGAACTATATACTGCAACTTCTTCTGGCTGCATGGCTGTAATGTTCTTGAGTAACTACTGTAATATATAACATTGCCTATTGTTTTAGCCTTAATCATTAAGATGTAATGTCTTGGGATTTCTTTTAATCTTATTCCCAGTCTATATAGGTAATGCTTATTATATTCAATCTGTATTGCTGTTCCATTTAATGCATATTCCACTGAATGATGCATTGAAGTACTGTATATGGAACTCTTCCAAATGCATTCTGTAAGAATTTACTTTTCCAAGCTCAAATGTCACATACTATTTATAAACATGGTAACTGTTGACCATTTAACTATGTGGCACAGCGGTGACACTGGATAATTGCACACCTGTCAGAAAGCAACATTTCCCTAATAACATAAATCTAATGTTAACTAAAGAACATAAACTCTCAGAAATCTTGCACTTAAAATTTTACCAAAGACACACACTGACTTGACTTTGAAGACCCAATTAAATCTTTGAAATAACTAAATTTTGTTCACATAGACACTGAATTTCCTTTTGAAGATAACAGGTTTGTACATCTATATTCTATTAAGAAAGTAGCTTTTTAGACACAATCTGATAATGCTTTGAGAAATGTACTCCCGAAAGAGCCAAACTCCAGAGAACAAACTAAACTTCATCAGAACTGGCCAGCAGTTGCAGCTTTTTTTTTTTTTTTCAGTTGATTTGCTTCAGTTCTTATCCTGCCTCCCATTAAGAGAAGCAATCCCAGGCACAGCGACAGGTTGGGCAGAGAAGAGATTCAGAGCAGCCCTGTGGGGAAGGACTTGGGGGTGTTGGTTGATGAGAAAATGAACATGGGCCGGCAGTGTGCGCTTGCAGCCCAGAAAGCCAACTGTATCCTGGGCTGCATCAAAAGGAGTGTGACCCGCAGGTTGAAGGAGGTGATCCTGCCCCTTTGCTCTGCTCTTGTGAGACCTCACCTGGAGTATTGTGTGCAGTTCTGGTCTCCTCAAACAAAAAGGACATGGAACTGTTGGAACAAGTGCAGAGGAGGGCCATGAGGATGATCAGGGGACTGGAGCACCTCCTGTATGAAGACAGGCTGAGGAAGTTGGGGCTGTTCAGCTTGGAGAAGAGAAGGCTGCGTGGAGACCTCATAGCAGCCTTCCAGTATCTGAAGGGGGCCTACAGGGATGCTGGGGAGGGACTCTTCATTAGAGACTGTAGTGACAGGACAAGGGTTAATGGGTTCAAACTTAAACAGGGGAAGTTTAGGTTGGATATAAGAAGGAAATTCTTTCCTGTTAGGGCGGTGAGGCACTGGAATGGGTTGCCCAGGGAGGTTGTGAATGCTCCATCCCTGGCAGTGCTCAAGACCAGGTTGGACGAGGCCTTGGGTGATATGATTTAGCGTAAGGTGTCCCTGCCCATGGCAGAGGGGTTGGAACTAGATGATCTTAAGGTCCTTTCCAACCCTAACGATTCTATGATTTTATGAAATTGTCACCAAAATAATTTGGCAGTTTAAGTTGTCTGTTTGTTTGGAATGCCTACGTGGGGTTGACTAGACATAGATGTGATGGTTGAAAATACCTTTTCAGTCACAGAACCCAGGTAAATAAACCTATTTTCAGCATGGAAAATTGCTCTTTATTCTGATAATGAGCAGCTGTTTCACCGTCAAATGTATTTCAGTATGTACCACAAGCCTCATGCACTGTGCTTTCTCAGCTCTACTCAGAAAAAATAGCTTCAGCTCCAACTTTAGCTTTCACTGGAAGCTGAATATAAATTTATTGAGTTTGCAAAGATTTTGGTCTTTTTGTAAACAGCAACTGGTAACTATATCATTAAAGAAAGGTGCAAACTTCTTAGCTTTATAACATGCACACAACACCAAACAGTGAAAACACAACTTATACATTCTTAATTTCCTTTTTTAAAAGAAGTATGCTTGTGTTGACAGCATGATAGTTGACGCTCCCAAAATCATGTATCACATAAACTTTTTGCTGAAAGAAACAGCTACAGGATGAAGAAAATGC